CCCGAGTCCGCCACCAGCCGCGGGCCCTCGTACAGCCGCACCCTGGGGGTGGTGGGGGGAGGCCGGGGTGAGCGAGGCCGCGGCGCCCCCGGGCGGGAGGGGACGTGCTCGGCCCCGGCCCCGGCCCATTGTTCGGCCGCTTTTGCATGTGAAAGGCGCGGGCCGGCATTGCCCGGCGGGCCGGGTCTCCATGGCGACGGGACAATGGCGCGGAGGGCCCGGAGCTGCCTTAAAAAGGAAACCTGCAGCCTCCACCGGCCCTGCCTGCGCCCTACCGGGAAGGCTCCGGCCAGCGCCCCCCCCCCGGGGCCCACAGCCCCTCCTCACCGGATGTAGCCCACCTGGGGCCTGTGCATGAGCTGCCACCGGTACGAGGTCTTGTCCTTCCAGCCCACGTTGCGCGGATCCTTCCACAGCAGCCGGACCTGATCCGGGGTGGTGCCTGCATGCCACAGCGCGTTGCGCAGGTGCTCGCCGGGGCCCGTCGTGGACTTCACCGCCTGCGGGCAGAGGGCTGGGGGTGACCGGGGCAGAACAGGTGCCCCGGCAGAGAAGGGGCCAGGAGTGCCTACCACGACAGGGGTGGGTCCAGCAAGCACTGCCCGCCCCACCGGGTCCCCAGGCAGAGGGGCCATCAGGTCTGAGGCCCAGCAGCTCCCCTCAGCCCAGCACAGACCTTGAGTTGCAGCCCGGTCTCAGCCACAGCCCGGAAGGGGGTAGCCTGCCAGTATGTCTGCTCCGTCTGCTTCCACATGACCACGTAGAAACTGGAGCTGTCCTGGTAGCTGAAGATGAAGCCAGCGTAGTCATCATCCGTGACAGTGTTGACATGGAAGGTGCCCTCGAAGTCCACCCCGTTGAAGGCCGTGTAGCCTGAGCACAGGGCAGGGCGCGCGTCAGGCAGGGAGGCATGTGCCCCAATCCCCATGGGGCTCCTGGGCAGGCCACATCAGCACTGCCCTGGCTCTGCCCTCCCCTTTGCTGGGGGCCCAACCTGGGGTGAGGCGTGAGCTGCCCCAAGGAGCTGGGTGGGAACAAGAGGCAGTGTGCTGCCCCAGGACAGGAACACCCTACGTACCAACAGCCAGGCCCGGGTCACTGTTCATGGTCTGCACAATCTCCATGCCCTGGAGAGAGAGATGGGATTGGCACCCGGGCTTGTGGGTGCAGCCCAGGGCCTGCCCAAGGGCTGGCAGTCCTAGCCCAACACCCAACCAGGCCCCTGGCCTGCTCCCCTCCTTCACCCTTTGCCCAGTGCTGCACAGCAGGCACCATCCTGCCTGACTAGCACTGATACCAGCACCTGCCCTGCAGCCTCCCCCTCCCTCCAGCTGTACCTGGTTCAGAACCACCCAGTTGGGGTCGATCTGGGCATCGCCCTCGGGGTCCAGGATCACTGTCTGGTAGGCCCGGAAGTCAGTCAGTGTCACCTCGGCACTCTCCGGGCACACGTCCAGCTGGTCAGCCACTGTGTCATTATCGAAGTCCTCCTCACAGACATCACCCACTCCGTTCCCTGTGGGGCATGACAGGGCCAGTCACACGTGGTGCAGCTCCAAGCATGTGGTACAGCCCCGGAGCCAGAGTGAGTGCCATGCTCCATATAGCAAGCATGCCTGCTCCAGCTCCATGGGCTCAAGAGATCCTGGCTCCACCTGGCACCACTTATGTAGCAGTGCCAGCCCAGGGGACTCAACCCAGCAGCCACAGCCCCTGCCACAGGAGCCAGGTCTGCACCGGCTGTGCCCAATTCCCCTGGCACAGGCTCAGTGGCCACATGGTCCTCAGTCCTGGCCGAGCCCTCACCGTCTGAGTCCTTCTGGTTGGGGTTGGGAATAAGGCGGCAGTTGTCAGGGCCGGGAGCAATGTAGTCAGGGATGCCATCGTTGTCGTCGTCATTGTCACAGTCATCCCCCAGCCCGTCGTTGTCCGAGTCCAGCTGGGAGCTGTTGGGCACTTCGGCACAGTTGTCCTTGGAGTCCTGGTGCCCATCCCCATCGCTGGGGGTGGCAAGAGGGGATGAGAGGGCAGTGTCACCAGGCACATAGCTGGGACCCCATCTCCCCCAGACGCCCGCACCCAGTACACCCACCCACTGCATGCCTGGGCATGGGGGCTTCCTGCTACCCCATGTCCCCCAGGGCTCCAGCCCACCCCACCCCTCCCTGCCTTTCCAGGGACCACAGGGCAATGGCAGAGCTTTGGGCAGGACACAGGCACTGGCTCACACACCTGTCCTCATTGGTGTCACAGATGTCTCCTACCAGGTCACTGTCCATGTCTGTCTGAAAGAGAGCACAGCTCCAGGTCAGCAGGGACTGGGGACTGGTCCTGGGCTCCAGGCATACAGGGGAAGGGGAAGTCCCTCCCTCCAGCCCCTGGTGCCCAACAGCTTCTCCAGCCTCCCACACTGTCTCCCAGCTGCATGCAGCCTCTGCCCCAGCCCGTACCTGAGTGGGGTTGCTCATCTCGGGGCAGCTGTCGCAGGCATCCCCAACGCCATCCTCATCCCGGTCTGTCTGCAGTGGGTTGGGGACCTTAGGGCAGTTGTCCAGCACATTGGGGATCCCTGTGGGCAGCACGGCAATGGTGACCCCAGCCCAAGCCCAGCCCCACCTTGAGCCTCAGCCACAGCCCTAGATCCCCAGGCCCAGCCCAGCCTCACCCAGGCAGCCTCGGGCACATCCTTGCAGAAAGCCCCCAGCATGACCCAGGCCCCCTCCTTTGACATGGCCCCAGCCCTGGCCCCACCGTCGCCATCAATGTCGTTGTCACATGCGTCGCCCTCGCCGTTGCTGTCTGTGTCCCGCTGGTCATTGTTGGGCACATTGGGGCAGTTGTCACAGGCATCCCCAAAGGAGTCAGTGTCTGAGTTTTGCTGGTCCTTGTTGGGCAGGAGCCGGCAGTTGTCCTGAAAGAGGCGCCCGTCACCACTGGCATCGGGGCAGGCACAGACCCAAGTGCCATGGGGAGCTTTAGGCTGTGCCCCACAAGCCAGGCAGAGTCCCCCAGTCCCCTGCATGCTCCTGGGGCAGCAGGGCAAGGTGCTGCCCCCTCTCCACCCCAATCCTGGGGACAGCCCCTGGCAAGGCCTCCCCAGCCCTGAGCCCAGGATACCTCAACATTCTTGATGCCATCACCATCCGCGTCATCATCACACTGATCCCCGATGCCGTCGTTATCAGCGTCCTCCTGCCCCGAGTTGGGCGTCAGCCGGCAGTTGTCCTGGGAATGGAGTGTGCAGCTGAGAACCAGGAGCCAAGCAGCCCCCTCCCTGCTCCTGCCCCACCAGCTTCTTACCCCCATGCCCTGGGTGCAGTGCCCACCTGCTTGCAATGCTTGTCATTGTCGATGCAGGGCAGCGGCTCATCTGGGTAGCCATCAAGGTCTGTGTCTCGCCCGCACACATTCCCATTGCCGGCCCAGCCCACATTGCACTGAGGCAGGAGGGGAAGCAGAATCATGACACCAGAGACAGCTCCCAGCTGTGCTGGGACTGCCCTGCCCCCAGGCACAAACAGCCCCATTGCCAGCCCCAGCCTACACATGCAGCCCCTCCCCAGCCCCACTCACTGCACAAGAGATGTCACCGTTCCTCTCGAACATGCAGTATCCGTTGATGTCACAGGGGTTGTGTGTGGGGCTGCTGCAGGACTTCAGTGGGGCACAGCCCACCGTCTGGTTGCCCAGGAACCCCGCCTTGCAGGGGCCACACTTGTAGGAGCCCTGGGGCAGGGGGAGCAGGGTGAGAGGCTGGAGGCAGCTGGAGGCCATGGGACAGAGGGGTGGGAGGCAGCGCTCACCATCGTGTTGGTGCAGACGGAGTTCGGGTCACAGCCGCCATTGTTCCCATCATTGCATTCATCGATGTCGGTGCAAACCTGCAGCAGGGACGGTCACTGGAAGCAGGGCCTCTGCAAGGTCCTGGGGCTTGGCCTCCCCCAGGGAGAGGCAGCAACACGAGTAGGGTCCACCACCCCCCAGCTATGCTCATCCTCCAGCCTTCACTAGACCTGGCCGTGCAGTGCCTTTCCTGGGGAGGGGAGGGAGCAGGCCTGGGCTCACCCCTGAAGGTGCCATACTCCAGTACCGTGGTACTGCCCTGGGCTGGGGGGTCCCTCCTGCCCAGCCCCAGGGGGTGGGTGCACTGTGAGATGCCAGGGGCAGCCCAGAGCCAGCAGCTCATGAGCCCTGTGCAGCCCTGGTGCCCATCTCTGCTGCAGCAGCAGACCCCTGCCTCCAGCAACACAGTGCCCCCAGACTCCCCCCCCCCCCAACTGTCAGGGGTCAGAGCAGCATAGAGTCGGCTGCCAATGCCAGGCGTCTCTCACCTGCTTGCTGGCTTTGGCATAGTCAGCACCCACACCTGAGATGAGGTTCCCCTTGTAGCCACGGGGGCAGGGTTCGCAGCGGAAGCCGGGCGCCGTGTTGATGCATTTCGAGCCAGGGAAGCAGGGGTTGGCATGGGCACACTGGGAGCGAGGGAGAGGGTCCAGCCAGTCCCACATGCAGCCAGGACAGCAGGCCCCTGCCAGGAGCATGGCTCACCAGTGCCAGCCTCCCAGGGCTGCTCCGGCGTCACCCCCGCCCCAGCACCAAACTTCCTGCCATGCACCTGGCAGCAGGTTGAGCCAATTCCCTGCCCAACCCATGAAGCAGGGAGCACTGACCACCATCCCTGTCCAACAGCCCTGGGCACACAGGAAGCCTGACCCACAACCTCCTCCAGCGCAGCTTGAGGCCCAAGCCCTGCTCCACAGGGCAGGCTCCTCCCTGCCGAGCCTACCTGCATTGTCACATTGCTCCTTCCCATGGGCACAGTCATACCCTGCCTCATCCATTTCCCAATGCATCGGGATCCCCAGAACACAGGACCCCTGCCCCATGTTGTGAGCAGCACTCTGACCCCGACAGGCTCATGAGCAACCTGCTCAATCCTTGGGCTGGGCCCCTCACCTCATTGATGTCAGCACAGTGTGTCCCATTGCCCTGGAAGCCAGGAGGGCAAGGCCCACAGCGATACCCGGGGTACTCGTATGTCTCCATGCAGTCTACACCGCTGAAGCAGGGGTTGGGGCTGCAGCGGGAGCGGTGCTCATGGAACCCTGCAGAGAGAGGGGGTCACAGCGCAGCTGCTGGGCTGGGCCAGGCTGAACAGGGCAGGGCAGCTCCCCACGGCCAGGACTCACCGCAGACCTGACACTCCATGATGGTGTTCCGGATCAGGGACATCTCCTTCACCTGCAAGGCACAGCGCAGGTGTCAGAACCCGAGACCTCAGCATCACAGCACCCCAGAGCAGAACTCGCCCGATCTCTAGCCCAGGCCCCCAGAAGGAGTGGGGGGGGAAGGGGCACTGAGCAGGGGGCTAGCACCTGGATGGGGTCAATCCTGCCACAGCAGGGAATGGTGCACAGCCCCTCTAGCCACCTCACCTGGTCACGGATATCCTCCCTCAGCTCCATCAGGACCTTGTTGAAGAGGGTCAGCTGCGTGACCAGGGCCTTGGTCTGCTCGCCTGCCCCAACAAAGCACTGGTCAGTCCCCCAGGTGCCATCCTCTCTGCCCACTACCTCCAGGGTGCTGCCCCACCCTGACTGGCACCCATGCACACCTTGGGTCCGCAATAGGGAAAAGCAGTGCCCAGAAGCTGGCTGAGATCCCCCAAGCTCACTTCATGCATGACCACAGCTGTCTTGGAGCCAAGAGCAGTCAGGTGAAGGATGAGACCTCAACAAGGGGTGCAGCATCCCCTTCTCTGCCCTGAGACCCCGAGGCCTCCCTCTGCCCAGCCCCACTCAGGTGTGGGCCCAAACCCATGTGCAAGCAGGAGTGTGAGAGGTGGAAGGCCAGGAGAACAACAAGCAACTCACCCAGGATGGAGTTCAGCACCCCGGTCACTGCAAGGGAGGAGATGGAAACATTGTCCTGCTGCCAGCCTGACTCGTTCCTGCCCACCCGGCACAGAAGGCAGCAGCTGGTAGCTGCAAACCCGGCCCCCACCAGGCCCAGCCACAAAGAGGCTGTGTGCATATGTGCCTATATGCCCGCATGCTCCATATTTAACAGGAGCACAAGATATGTACACGTGTCTATGTGCGGGTCCCATGTCCCACATGACATACATAGACATGCCCTGTGTGCATACCTGGCAGTGCCCTATTCCATATGCAATGTGTGTGCAGGTGCCCCTGCATGGGCTTGTATTCCAGGTGCCCCCTGCTGCATTACCTGCACTGTGGATGGACTCATCGCCTTGGAAAGGGCATTCACTCAGGGCTCCAACGCGGCTCATGGATCCTCCCAGAATCAGCTTCATCGACTCTATAAACCCCTGGTCCAGAGAGGAGCCATCAGCCCCGGTGCCATGGTACTGCCCGTGCCCCCACTGCTGCACCCTCTCAGCCAGGCCTCCTCTCACCTGCAACCTCTGATAGGCCTTCTGGCCCGTGCGCACCTCCACTGCCTCCAGCTCGGCCTGGGGCACGACTGCTATCTGGGGCAGCCCCACGCTGGCATCAGCCTGCTTGCAGTCGACATACAGCTCCACGCTCAGGGCGTCGGCACGCAGCCCACTCAGGCGCACAATCACCGTGTGGCTCCGTCCATCCGCCAGGCCAGTGTGCTGCAGGTTCACCACGTGCAGCTTCCCGTCCTCCCGCAGGTATCGCAGCAGGACTGTGGAGCACAGCCACAGACGTAAGCTTCCCCTCAGCATGGGGGCCCAAAGCCCTGCCCGGCACAGCTTGTACCCACTGTGCATGGTGCCTGGCACAGCCCACCTTGAACTGCACAGCCCCATCCTGAGATGGGACTGTGCAGTTCAGGGTGTAGACCCTGAGATGGTGCAGAGTCACTTGGAGGAACTGGATGCCTTTAAGTCGGCAGGCCCAGATGAGCTCCATCCGAGGGTGCTGAAGGCACTGGCTGACGTCATTGCACAGCCACTGGCGTGAATATTTGAGCACTCGTGGTGCACGGGCCAGGTCCCGGAGGACTGGAAAAAGGCCAATGTGGTGCCCATTTTCAAGAAGGGGAGGAAGGAGGACGC